TATATATATATATATATATATATATATATACATAAAAATTGGTTATATATGATTATATATGAAAAATGGCCAAATATAATCATATCTAATTATATATAATTATGTATAATTATATATAACTATATTTAATTATATATAACAATATTTAATTATATATTTATTACATCTAATTAATTATTGGATTAATTTTATGGATAGAGTATTTAATATGGTCCTACGCAATTCTCTGTAACCAATTAAAATGCGAAAAAAAATGTCTAGATATAATTTTACGGATATAACACCAGCGGTCACCCATCCAACTATTAACTCTGCTCAATGCTGCTTAACTTTGGTGATCTCCGTCCAAATCAATAAAAATTGATTTTATAATATATTTGGATAGTCATAATTAATAATTTATTTATTTTACAGAATCTCATTATAATATAACACTTATTTAAATAATAAAATAAATAATGATTTTACTATTAGGTAGTAGCAGAGCAGACCAAAACATCTCATAGGAAATGTAACAAATTTTGTATTTCAGAATTATTTAAACGTAATTATAAACATCACTATATACTTTTTGTGATGACCAAAAAAAAAATTTTTATATGTGTTAATTATATATGGGACTACACTAAAAAAAAATTTTTTTTCCACCTAGGAAATTTTTCCCTCCAGTAAAGAAACTGGTATACCTGTGTGGAGAATGCCAAAGTTTTTTTCCTACACTAATAAGTATGGTGATTTTTAAAAAACTCGGTTTCCTTCTCAGCAAAATACCAAAATAAAAATATGGCCGACTTAACTTCATCTGACACAGATGCATACGATATGTTTATGATACGGTGGATCTTTTTTATTATAATTAATAAATTAATAATTATTAATTCATCAATTATAATTAAATTTAAGAATGACACTGAAGTTGACAGACATTAAAAATTTATTTAGAATTTTATGGCAATTAAATTATTATAAAAAAAATTTAATTAAAAAATTCCACATGTGAAAATTAATAAAAATAAATAATAAATTAGTATATACAACTTTCCAATGATGCAATCAAACACGCCAGGACTGTGAAATTGGAGGAAAATCAGAGAGAATTGGCGGCGCCACCGCTGTGGTTGCTATAGTAACGCAGTATAAAGTTTTAGCTCCAGAAAAAAATTATGTATTCTCAGAAGAAAAATACCAATTTTTTTATATTAAGAAAACGTATATTGGATATAAAAAAACGGATAAAAATACTTTGTATTCTGGGTAGAAAAAAACTTTTTTTTCGGTCCACTTACATCGGTGTTTGATTGACATAATTAACAATTTAAATATTTAATATGCTTGCGAAATAATTTATATATAAAAAAAATTAAAGTCGTTATCGCTTCAAACAAATATTGCTAAAATTGGATAAAAAAATGCGTATAAATATCCTGTTGTAACAGTAAAAAAAATACTTTACTGAAGAAATAATTTTTTTATATTTTACAAAAATGTTTTTCGTTAAAATTGCGGTTATGTATTTGATACTCGGCGTTTCTTTTGCGCAAGTTCGGGTACCGGGGTCTTGCCCCAATATCACTGGAACAAATCATAATGGCTACAGGGTAAGTATTATTTTTATTTTTTAGACAAAATTACATTGTTATTTTCGGTGAAAATAATATAAGGAGAATTAATTTTTCTTTTAGGGTTCCGGATTATGGTATGAGTACGCAACTACCCAAGATAAATTTAAAAATACTACGAGATGCATACAGTATCACATGTATCTGCCAAAAAATGGGGTAATATTCGCACTTGTTTCGGTCATTTCTAAAAAGTAAGTATCCATATGTTTCATTTTTACCGATTAAGAGGAAAGGGAAGAAATTAATTTTGAACAGTTTTTTTTTTTCTAGTAAAAACTCTAATTTTCCCGTGTTTTAATTTTATAACTCAGGACCAGTGTCTTATTGGAAGTCGAGGCCGAAGTGACTATGAGCAAACCAGATAATATGATGCACACGATTGTCCGCGACCCAATTTTGGGATTGCAACCTATTCTGTTCTTTTATATAGAAGAGGTCTATGATAATTATCTAATAACTTGGAATTGCAATAATTACGGATCTTACAAGTAAGTTATTTTTATTGTAAAAGATACATTATAAGTAGTTACATGCAGTAATTATTCAATAACTTGTATTATTGTGCTTAGTGAGCAGGCTATGACTATCTATACTCGACAAGCGAATCCAACGACAAATGTGATTCGAAAAGCACAACAATTAGCCTTGAGAATGGGTCTCCCACAAGGAAAATTTATTAAATATGATAATAATTGTAACTAAGATGTTAGTAAAGAATTTATTATAAATTCTAGAACATGTGCTGTACTATCATTGATAATAAATACAATTAATATCGAATTTTAGTATTTTATTTACACCTTTTTTTTTTATGAAGGGAAATTAAGACCTCCACTATAACTATAATTTATTTTTTATTATTGTAAACAGTAAAAAAAGTGAAACTTTAGCCAATTTCGTTGATTATATTATTTTTAATTCCTAATAGAAGATATATAAAATAAAAAGAATTTTTTAAGCATAAGATTCTTTAAAAAATTAAACTTTATAGAAATTTTTTTACAATAATTAACAATTTTTTAAATATAGGATAATATAATATGTAAATAAAATTTTATTTATCGTACTTTATGATTTAAATCAAAATAATTAGTTGTAATAATTTATAAATTGTTAATGGAAGTAGTAACACTGAAGTTAGCAGTCACGGAACGGAGAGTAAGACCCCTACTAGCTGGGAGCCGGAGAAGGGGAACCAGGCCGCGTTAGACTCGGGAGTAGGGAGCGCTCGACTGTCATTCAAGCGCTGACTGAAGTCCAGTCAACATCTATAAAATCTCTATTCTCGCTAATAATTCCGTGCTTTTATTTAAAATTTCAGGCACAGGAGGATGTTTGTAATCTATTGGACATCTATTGATTATTTTTTACAATGTATGACATTTTTTTGAGCCTAATGAACCTAATTAATTGAACGAGCACTCAAATTTTTCATTTAAATCATAATAATATATTTTTAGCAATATAATTAATTTTAAAATAATTGGTCAAAAATCTAGCGGTAAAAAAAATATTTATATTTATTTTTTCTCTGTTTAAATGTAGGAAATATTAAATTTAAAATATATAGATGGCGCATTGGTAAATGCGGCAGATTTTAAATGTAACAGCTACAATAAAATTGATAATTTTGCTAGGAAATATTGCAGAACAAAAATAAACATGGAAATTTTATTGGTTTGCTTGGAAAAAAACCCTTGACTGTCGGCAGTAAAAACAAGTCAACGACTCTCCATTAAACTCTGCTGATGTTTGCTACACTTCATTAAGTCTTTATTTTCCTACACTCAGAATTAATATTAAATTGTCGGTATAAAAGCATTCGCAATATTTTAAAACTTACCACTCGTTTTATTTAAAAACTGCTTATTTTATTTATTCAATTTTCATTAAAGAAAAAAATTTTTTTTTCGTTTTTCAGAATCTCAAATATGGAGAAAATTATGGCGTGTAAATCAATTTAAAAAAAACTCAATTCCGGATAAGAAAATTTCTAAAAAATCTTTATTGTCAGTGGGTTTTCATGAAGGACCTAGTTATCATATGGAATTACATCCATCTGGAGTTCATATATCTAAGTGTGTGCACTATGTCAAAATGCAACGTGCTAACAAGGTAAAAATAATAATTTGTTTTTTTTTTTTTTTTTTTCAAATTTATTCTCATACAAAAGTGCACCTTAAGGAGGTTCGAGCGAATCTAATGTGAAAAATAATTTCCAACTTTGAGCTTTGAAATTAAGTATACGTATAAATAAATACGTAATTTATCTAATCCCAAAATTTAAAAAAGATTCACCGTTTAGTTACTTAGATATTAAATTAAAAAAATCACATTTTTTATCTCCTTATACACGGGCTCTTATGGCGGACAAACGTTTAGTCGAGACTTTAATTATTTTTTTCAATATTAACCTCCCAACTTTAACGAATAAAAAACTATACACGCAAAACTTGGATTATTGTAAAATATAAAAAAAATTTAATAATAATACATTACCGATATAATTTTCGAAATATTTTAAGGTTAATTTAATGTTTTTGACTGGTTTATCGTCAGCTATTTATTCGAATAAAGATTTGGCAACGTCGCGTCAACAGCTGAGAAAAAACAAAAGGATAGAAATATAGTTACAGAGAGAGAAATATTTAACTGACACACTCATCCACGTCTCTGTAATGGGTATAATCAAACGCGCTGTTGCCAAATCTGTTTATTTAATCCGGCAAGTAATAAATACCAAAGTCATTTTATTACTTTATTTTATTAAATAAGTAAGAATCATCAATTATTAAATTGTTCAAATTATTTTAAATTAGAATAAAGAATTTTGGCGAATATTGGAAAGACTGAAAGTAAAAAAAAATTTTAACATTATTTTGACTCATAAGTTACGCTCGGACCTCCTTATCAACCATTATTCAGCGTCAAAAGCCAAAAAAGTAAATTTCATCGCCTAAAAAAATTTTTTGTAACTATTAAAAATTTATTATAATCCCTCGCGGTTTTGAGAATGTCGTAAAAATACCGTAATTTTTCGGCATTTATGCTCATGCCGTATATTTACCGTTATAATTCGGTAATAATGCGGTTGAACTATAGTTGTTTTGGCCAGTTTTTATACTGTAAATATCCAGTATATATACTGTACTTATGCTGTACATTTACCAAAAATATACAATACAATTACCGCATTAATGCCCAAATTTTACCCAAAAAATTCCAAATAATTACCGTAATAATACAGTAATTTTGCCGAATATTTTCTGACATAATGGAAAATTATTAAAGATTAATAGAAATGAATAAAATGAAAAATTTCCAATAAAATGAAAAATTGCATATTTACTAAAATCGAAAAGTTATATTGTTTCACATATATAACTATATTATTCAATTTTAAATATGCTTATCTTAAGATGGACGGTGTGGCTCAATATATATAGAATAAGCAAACGGAAAATGCGGTACAGACCAGGTAGCTCAAATGGTAGAGTAGCCGACTTGTCCTCAGGAGGTTCTGAGTTTGAATCCGAGTCCGACCGTTTTTTAATTTTATATCATTTTTTAAATATGGTTTTAATACAGTCATTTTACCGCTTTATTACCATAAATATGCCGCATTTTCAGCGTAAATATTCTAAAAAGTTTGGAAAATCCAAAAGTGCACGCCTCATAGCGCTCATTCATTTTTTAAGAAAAAAAAAT